ATCTCATGAAATGTGTGCTTAAAATGAAGTTTAATCACAGTATGATCTTTGAAAAGTTTGTCAAACGAGGGCTAATTTGATAATTAATGGTACTCTGTGCATAAACGCAACAAACTGAAAAAAGATGGATAGCTAAAGTCAATTATGTAATTTGGTAAAGCTATATATAAATATAAAGGGTAACCAGGTAGAGTGTCATTGCTCTAGTTTAGCTAGTTTTATCCACCATGTTAATTTCACAAACGGTCACTGAAATTACGCGAAAATAAAAAAAATAGTCACTAAAGTTTAAAACTTGCAGAAATGTTCACGGAAGATTCATGCGATTTCAAAATGGTCATTGAACTTAGTTTTAGTACTATTATGTTTTAATTCAAACCTAAAGCACCAAAACACATGGACATAGAAGCTGGAGGACCTAAAGTGCAAAATTCAACTTAAAATTTCCCCAAACCCAGACCACCAATTTTCTCACCCCATTCAACCACATTCCAGCCACCAAAACTATCGAACCAACATACCATCTTGAAGCCCTCGCTTCCCTCTATGTAACCCACCCAAGAACCGTCCCTACCTCCGATGGTGGTAACTGGAATTTCGTCCCAAAGTGGGCCTCTCACACAGCCAGCAGTTTTGTGCTATGTGAAATGCCCACTTTTGGAAGAAATTCCACCACTTTTCATCCATCAAAACCACTGGACCAACACACGACCTTGAAGCCTTTGCTGTCCACTAAGCAACCCACCCAAGAATCGCTTCTAAATCCGCCGAAAAATGGCCAAAATTTCGTCCCAAAGTGGCGTGCTCGTACAACCACTTTGGGACCGAATTCCACCACTTTCCTGCCACCAAAACCACTGGACCAACACACCGTCTTGAAGCCCTCACTGTCTTCTACGTAATCCACCCAAGAATGGCTCCTAAATCCACCGAAAAGTGGTTGAAATTTCGTCCCAAAGTGGCGGCTGGTAGTTTTTGTTGTGCGAGCGGCCCATTTTGGGACAAAATTTCGGCCACTTTCCGGAGGATTTAGGGATGATTCTTAGGTGGGTTGCGTAGAGGGAAGCGAGGGCTTCAAGGTGGTGTGTTGGTCCGGTGGTTTTGGTGTACGAAAAGTGAATTTCGTCCAAAATTGGGCCTCTCACACATCACAAAACTGCCTGTTGTTAGAGGCCCACTTTGGGACAAAATTCTGGCCACCACAGTCGGAGGTACAGGTGGTTCTTGGGTAGGTTGCATAGAGGGAAGTGAGAGTTTCAAGATGGTGTGTTGGTTCGATGGTTTTGGTGGCCGAAATGTGGTGGAATAGGGCGCGAAAA